AGTTCATTCCTCATTGCTGTTGAACAGAGGCACTCTCTTCCTGGTACAGATGATCTCAGTTGACGTGGAAATTAAGAAAAGGAGGCTGGCTCTGACAACACATACCGGTTGAGCGTAAGCCATTTACTTTGACCCATGAGCTTCTCGAGTATGAGACGAAATATAGCGGACATCCACCAGGAGCTCAGCATTCAAGAAGGACGAACCAGATGGAGGGGGGTCTACTTTAGGAGGGGAATATTTCTTTCTGTGATGCAGTAGCCGGTACTTTATACTCAAAATGTTGCAAAGCTGTGAATATCGTGCACATCACAAACCAGAGACGTTTTGCTTGTGCAAACGGCTCAAGGCAATGACCTCAACAAAAGACACAATATCGTCGCAATGGTGGAACTTCATTTGCTTTTATCGCTGCAAAAAACTTAATACACTGTTCATCCTGCTGTCTATGCTCTTAACAATACATAACTTCTGAATTGTCTTGAATCCTGATAGGAATGTAGACCATTTTAAACTACAGAGTTAACGGCAATAAACAGCTTGTGAAATATGAGCATGTGTAACAGATCTATCATTTGTATCATGATGCATTCAAAATTTACAACTATAGGTGTTTAAATCAGACCTGAATATGACGATCTTCGCTTCCCTTTGAATTAAATTCTGTAGAATGGTTTGATAAATCAAAAGTCGTCCTTTAGCTGTACATGAAGTCTAAGTCCTAGATATCTACAAACTGTGATTGCAATTATTGTGCCATCAGTCGTCTGGGATGACTTTGGCTGAATACAGTGAAATTTTTATGAAAAATACATTCATAGATTTAAAGACAGCATGATTGGATTGCGAGATATTAGTGACTGCCAGGAAAAAATTAAATTAAAGAATTTCAAATTTAAATTTCACTACTAGTTAAAGGCGTAATTTTTCTTATCAACGAAGATAGAAAACAGTCGCAAAAATAATTAAACAAATAGTAAGTCAATTAAGCAAAGGAAACAAATTAGATATGGATAATACAATACAATACTGCAGTAGACCTGTTGAATGGCAGTAGCATGACGCAAAAAGGAAACGAATGGCATTCAACGTTCGATTCTTCGTGGGTGGTCCCAAATTATATGATCAAATCGACACCTGAACTGCAAAGTAGAGGATTAAGCATTTGGCTTTCGCAGAGTGACTCGAACAAGAAGAAAGTACGAACAATTGGACATAATGAAGTTCCATTCTCAATTGCTCTAACTGGTTTTACTAGCTGTCGTTTCTTGGTGATGATTATTCAATGTCGGCTTGCGCTCACAACATCAAAGCACCATGATTATGGTTTATAATGTAAATGAGCCAGTCATCTCAGAGGTCAAGGTGCCGCACCCACCAGCAAATCCAGAAAACTGCATGCAAATTGCCTTTTCATCAAATTTCCCACTGTTCTCTCAGCTAACTCATATATTTTAGGGTTGAATCACTACGTATAATCTGTGTATCCGCTACCCAGCAATTGACTTTGCCTGTGTAAAAGAATCACATAGCGGTGAAGCAAGGTGGTCAGTTTCAGAGATTTAGCCCGGAGAAACTGCTGGTGTAATATTCTTAATGCAGTTAATAAACTTATATGACTTTATATCGATCAGTTTTTAAAACAATGATGTTTCAGAGTTTCATTACCTTCCCATTATCTTCACAGACTAATTAATAACCACCTTGATTTACACGATTAGAATCGATTTCTAAATGGCTGTGCCTCATTCCAATATGGGCTGATGAAGACGTCCTGAATAAGATGGACTTTCTTCTATTTATGTACGAATGGATTTAAATTCAGCGTGAAAATGTAATTGGTCTTGATGCAGTAGTTTAGCCCATGGGAAATCTAACTCTAACCTCAATGTATATCATTAATCACTGTTTTATCAAACAATCTCAAAAAGTATAATTGGAAACAGCTTATGCAAACGCCATAAGGGGGATGTTTCATAAATACTGCAAATTAAAACACTGTTGAAAAATTATTGGTACGTGTTTAATTCCGGTTAACCGTTTAATTCATGCCTGTCACAAACGCGATCGCACGGAGTCAATCGTGCTTAGATAATACTTGTCATACGAGATTTCATAAACGCAAAAAATTACTTCTGTACCGAGGATAGATTACGTGATGATAATAATCTTTATGTATCCTCCAATGCTTCTTCCGCCAACGCACGATTCTCAAGCAGAGAGGGTTCTGTTTGTTTAATTCTACCTCAAAAGAATTTGCATAAATGACTCTTCCAGCGTTACTGATGAAGAAACTGGAGATAGACACTCGTGTGGATGTTTATGCTCGCATTGTTCACGCCACCATTTGCATTATTTTGTGTCATATGAGCATATTGAATTAATTTCCCACAATTTCTATGCCACTGTTGGAAGTTGTCGAGAGTTCGTCAATATTTCGTAAAATCTTGAGTACAGAATTTGAAAGTGCAAAAAATTCTAGTTATAGAACTCACGTGTGCCCAGTGCAAGAGTGAGTTATGAGTAAAACAGGATATGGCATTATAAGGCAAAGTATGGGCCAGTTATTAGCGCTGGAATGGTAAAGCAACGAGAAAACAAAGACCATAGATGAAAAAGATTTTCGTGTCTTTAAAGTAGATCATTTACACAGGAAAAAGGTTTCAGTAAATCGTGATACGATGGAGAAACCCGGACTATTTATATCCCCTAAATTCTGTCATGTCTCATTTTCAGTCTTTGTAATATGCAAAGGTGGTTTTGGCACAGGTCACTGCCACAAGATGACAACCTTACAATGTATTCCCATGACCAGTTGCGGAAGTACACAGAAACTTTGAAACTACATAATACTGCAGATATTGTCATGCAATAGCATTTCACGAGCGATTATTTGCATTGACTATGAAAAGACTTATGCTGCAAGCCACCTTCATCAACGCAATAAAAATACTAGCATTTGTAATAGCGTTGAGCAGGCTTGGCGTAGATAACTTTGCGGCATAGCGGATCATCGATGAACAAAAATCCCCCTATGTTAAGAAACTGCTGCTGGTTATGATGTGATTTTCCATGAGATATCATAGAAAGGACCTATCTCAAGTTCAAAAAATAACCCTTAAATTCGACTGCAGTGCGTCATGATTCTTGGAATACATCTGAGCCATTCAGACGCCAATTGAAGATCGCCTCATGCGAGTGATTCAGGCACGATTATGACCTCAGCGCACTTTCGAAAATACCGACGCATTTAATCAATGACGTACAAACCAGAGCCATTTCCAAGCTTGGGTCTAAGGACAGTCTTCAATTCAAGCTTTGAACCTGTCGAATTTGCCAACAGTGTTTAGCAGCAAGCTGCTAACCGTTTCAACGGCGGCCACAAAACAGTGGTCGTAGGGCTCACCTTCGAAGCCTCCGCTGAAAGACTCGAGGTTCCTTGTCTTTTGGTAATCGCCTGACCGCCAGTTTCCGCAAATTCATCGAGT